CAAACAGGTCTCCTTCATTTAGACCAAGGGGCAAACTATAGCCTGTAGGTCCTTTGCCAGTTCTTTTTTTTTAAAATTAATTAATTTATTTTTGGCTGCGTTGGGTCTTCATTGCTGGTGCGGCTTTCTCTAGTTGCGGCGAGCAAGGGCTACTCTTTGGTGCAGTGCACGTGCTTCTCATTGTGGTGGCTTCTCTTGTTGCGGAGCACGGGCTCTAGGCGTGTGGGCTTCAGTAGTTGTGGCTCGCGGGCTCTAGAGCGCAGGCTCAGTAGTTGTGGCGCACGGGCTTAGATGCTTCACAGCACGTGGGATCTTCCCGGACCAGGGCTCGAACCGTGTCCCCTGCATTGGCAGGGGGATTCTTGACCACTGCACCACCAGGGAAGTCCCTATTGCCAGTTCTTATAAAGTTTTATGGGAACACAGCCATGTCCATTCATCTACATACTGTCTATGGCTGCTTTCCAGACACAAAGGCAGAACTGACTCGTAGTGACAGAACTGTACAGCCCACAAAGCCAAAGATATTTACTACTCAACCCTTGAGAGAAAAGGTTTGCCAAGCCTTGATTCAGACACAAATATAATCTAGTCAGTGTGTCGTGCTAACCAGGAACTCAGAACTAAACTTACTGTTCAATATTAGTAACTCACGCATCCTCAATGGTCTTTATTTCCATATGTCTGTATGTTTTGATCCTCTAACTCCATTTTAACACTTGGTTTAAAAATAGCGAATAATCTCTGAGTGCTGATTATACGTCAGGCACTGAAGTAAGCCCTTCAGTATGATCTCTTATTTAATTCTCACAATAAGTCCATAGGGTAGGTAGTATTTATCCCCTATTTACTGAGGAGAAATGAATGAAAAAAAAAAAATGAATGGATTGATTGCATAGTGGTGATATTTACTACTTCATAATCCAATCCCAGAGAGTAATACAGGAGTTGATTGGAAAACTTTGGTGCTCAATAAGTAGAATAGAGTTGGCAGAGCTGAGATCAGCTGACTTTGTCAATTCGAGCAGAATGATAAGATTACAAAGCACTATCATTCCGAGATTCTTTTCGTTTTCAATCTAGCTTCAGACTGAGCTGTGCGATCGTTTCATCATGAATCTTCTGGATTTAGGGAGGATCACAGTGGACGAAACAGCACAGTGACACAGAGCTACTCAGGTCAGTCTGAGGAACACTCTGTCTCCAGTGATGTGGCCGGGGCCACACAGCCAAAGTGCCACCGATTGAAGCAAGGACATGTGCTCCAAATTTAGCCCTCTGCAGGAGGGCTGTGTCCACATGTTGCTACCCTAACATTTGTGCAAAACTGACCTTTTTTTAACTTACATAAGTACATCCTAAGCAGTAATATCCGAAAAGTCACAGGTCTCCGATGCCAATCATGGTCTTTTCCTAATTCAAGTTAAAATAAATATAAAACAATTTTTTTTAAGTTTGCCCCTCTATAACCTAGAGGCATCTTGTACACCTCACTGCACTCTTGAGAACCACAGGCCAAGCAGGAGCAGGGAGGCTGAATGCTGACAGACAGGAGGGCATGCCAGCTTCTCCGCGCTCTCCTGAGATAATCTTGGTAGTTTTCCGGATCTCTCTGAACCTCAGTTTCTTCATGTGTAAAAGTGGGATTCCACCCACTTCCCCAGGTTGGAAGATTAATCAAGCTTTGATAAACACCATCCGTTAAGCAACCCCATGGCTGTTCAGTGACAAGCCTGGTCTCCAGACTCAGCCTGTGTAACCCCAGGAGCCCAGGCCCCGCCATGGGAGAACAGGTCAAGGCTGCTAAGCCATCTCCAGGAATGCTGGCTGGGGTGTCCGTGGAGGTGGGGGGCAGCCCTGCATCCCCCAGACCCTCCCCCGTCAACTAGAATGTGTGCTATCAATCACCACAAGGGCCTATCAGTTAATTAAATTTAAAAAAAAAAGGTCGGGCATGCTCTAGCAGCAGCCTGGGGTAACAGGGCTCAAAGAAAAATGGGTTCTTCCAAGCATCTAAAAACAGACTTGTGAGATAATATTAGGCCAAGCAGAAATGCGAACTGGCCACACAATTGCAAAGGAAAAGCTGGAGGAGCCGATGTGGACCCAGAAAATGGCAGCATAGCAGCAGCGCCAGGCCCACCAGGACCGGCAGCACCAGAGGCATCCTGGCTTACACCTGTCTTCCCAGAGTAAGTGCTGCTGCCTTCACTCCCAGGCTAGAAGAGAAATTAGACAGTCTCCCTAGCAATGAGGATACCAAGGCCCAGAGAAGGGAGGCGATCTGCCCGAGGTCACACAGTCACTGGGGGCTAAGAAGGGAGTAGAAGTTGTGTCTCTCAGTTCCAAGCTGCGTGAACCAGCGGCTTTGGAATCAGTGAGAACTGTGTTCCAATCCTGCCTGTGTTCCCTGGGGGAGACCTGCTTTGCCTGTCTGGGCTCCCAGTTACTTCAGCACTAAAAGAGACTGTTCTAGTGCCCACCCCATAGGTCTAGTCTGGGGCTGGAATGGAATAAGGTCTGACACGTGCCCTGCACAGAACGTGGCTTAACAAATGGCGATTATTCCTACATCTGTGCCCGCAGGGTGCACCCTCGCAGACACGGGGCAGCTGCTCGGAGCAGCCAGAGAGGGGGGAAAGCGGGCACCTTACTTCTCGCCGTGACCATTCTGTGCCTTCTGGTGCCCGAGCCCACCCACCCCCTCCCGGGAGGAGCGTGAGATAACCCAGACCACCACAATGGGGTTATTCTAGGGAGTAACTGATAAAAGGAGAAAAAGCAGGGCTGCGGGCCATGTGATAAGTGAGGGCGCAGGGAGATGGCAGAAGACATGCGAGGGGCCTGGGAGGGCAGAAGCGGAAGGGGCAGTGCTGTGCCTCGGTGTCCCCACTCACTTGCCTAGCTGAACCCCTCACGTCCCTAGGAAGAGCTCTGATGGCCATTGCAAGCCCAGCCCAACCTCCCAACCCTCCAAGGACCCCCAGACCCTCAAGAGCCCACCCCGGAGGACTCCTCTCCCTGTCCTGCTTGGCCGTGGACAGCAGCGAGCACAGCAACTGTCACCAATTCCTCCCAGCAGACTGTGGACCCCTGGGGGCTGTACTGTGACCCCAACCACACCTGGTCCTGCCGCCCAGCATGGGGCCTGCTTCCTCCATACAGGGAGCACAGAGTTCTTACTGAAAGCCTGTCTCTCCCAGGTGACAAAGAGGAACCCCGACCTAAGGACCCCAGGAGCATTCCACAGCAGGCAGTGCTACACACACACACACACACACACACACCACACACACACGCACCACATACACACCACACACGCCACAAACACACACACCACACACACACCTCACACACCACACAAACCGCACACACCACGCGCACACCACACACACAACACCCTTCTCAGCCTCCTGCTCTGCCTTCTCTTGGAGAAATAACCTTGGGCAAGTTACATGGCCGCTCAAAGCTCTCAACTGTAAAATGGGCACACTGCTGTCCGCCGGGGGAACTGCTGGGCTGATCAAGTTACACAGATGCTCAAAAAGCGTGTCTCCCTCTAGTCTGTCCTTTTCACAGCCGCCGAAAGAAATCCCCGCCTGATTTCTGTGAATCACCACCTGGTCTGATCAACTACGATGCAGTAAATAAGAGGCCTGCTGTGTGTTTAGGCTGTGAACAAGGCACACAGGGCTCCTGACCTCAGCTTGCCTTCTAGGGTGGGAGAAAGAGAGGAAATCAAATACCTTGCCTAAGTGGTTATAATATCACGACGCATGGCGGAGCTGTGGACCAGGACAGCGGGGAATAACCAGAGGGCCACTACTTCCACGAGGAGGTCAGGGAAAGCCGTGCTCACAAGTGCCGTCGGGCCTGAGCGGAACCGGAAGGAACGCAACCAAAATCGAACCCCAGGCACCGCCCCTCGTGCCGTCCTGGCAGCCAAGTGCCAGGTGGTCCCAGGTGGCCTGAGCGCACGGGGCGCTGGCTGTTGGAGCCGCCACTCTCCTGTGGGCAGCACAACGCTAAGGCAACATCCCTCAGAGCCACCAACCTCACGGCTGCCTGGTCAGGACAGCTTGTCAACTGCAGAAGCGCCGGAGTCCTCCGTCGCCGGGCCCAAGTCCGGCCACTCGCTCCCTCACGCGGACAGGAGGCTCCTTTCCCTTGCCTGCTGCCGGCCGGCCGCTCGGCCTTCCCGTGGGCTCTGGGGACGGGGACCTTTGATCAACTGTCCACGCCAACCAGCAGTTCCCAGTTCAAAGGCCAGCACGGCCCACCTGGTTCTGCTCAGAAAGACTTCCAAGGCCCAAGCAACACCCCTCCTTCCTGGAAGCCTTCCCCCAAGCAGCCGTGAGTCACCTTCCCTACCACGTGCTGAGCATCCGCTGTGCGCCAGACACGACACTGGGTGTCGGCACGTGCACGACTATTTTGGGGCCAACACCAACCCTATGAAGGACGACGATGAGTCACCCCCACTGAGTAGAGAAGGGCAAGGAATCCAGCAGTCACTTGTCCCGAGTCACTCCACAGATACGGGTCACAGATTCCAACCCAGGCCCTTCTGGCTCCACAGGCACCCAGCGGTGCCTGCAGTGTCTTAACTCGCCAACGATCATGTCCTCATTCACCCTTTCTGCAGCAGGAGGCGTGCCAGGGACTATACAGTGTCTTGGAGACACAGAGCCACACAGAAGAGGCCCCGGCCTTCAAGGCACGTATGATCTGGTAGATGAGGACAGACACACGAACCAGGCAAATCAGTAGAGGGTGACAGGCACGATGACAACATCAGTGACGGCTCCTTGGAGGCACCTTTCCATTTCCATCTGTCCCACACACACACCCAGCACGATGCCAGACACACAGAGCGAGCTCGTTAAATGCCAGCCCCTTCTGAGAGCCGGCCACGTGGTGGTGACCTCGCACCTGAAGCCCAGGTGGGTGCTGGACAGAACACGCGGGAGATACGTGAACAAGGAGAAGGTGGGCCTTACGTTTCATAGGGAGCCCCCAAGGGAGCTGGCAGAGCCCCAACCGAACACTCCTGTCGGCAGCAAAGGCAGGAAGCTTCAGTCCTCCGTCCACCAGGGGCATCCGGGCTGCAGGAATCCGCGAGGCACTCAGCCGGGGCCTTCCCAAAACCACCTTTAGCATCCAGAAATGGGGCGGGTGTGTGTCATTGGAGAGAGGCTTCCACCAGAGCTATTCCTCAGGCGGCCGAGAATCACTGTACATCCACACGGCTCAGAAAAGCCTTCAGGGAAGCTCCACGCAGCTGACAGGCGCCGCCATCACGAGGGACCATCTTTTTAATTCCTTTCTGGTCGAAAGATCAAGCCTGGGGATGGGAAGGAGAAAAATCGATCTTGTTACAATCACGGACCCAGAGCAGCAGTTATTCTTCCTTCCTTATGTTTGACCTAAGACGCTGAGAGGGGAATCATTAAAAATAAGGCCCTGCAGCTCTGACACTACAATAGAGGTGAGGCCAGAGACCGAGGGGGAGTGTCCTACAGGCACCAGAGCCCTCTCACCAAGGGAACTTTCTACTGCTTAGGGTTCCTCCTTAGGAACTATCCAAGTAGGGCAAAGGGGCTGAGGTACGCCCGTTATAAAGAGGAGGACAGAAAGTTCCGGAAAGGTTAGATGGCTGGCTTAGGGAGTGACCGGCACAGCCAGGCCTGGCACCCTGCCCTGGGCTCCCCTGCAGGGCCCAGAGGTCCCAGCTGAGGGGGTTTGGGGTCAGCTGGTAGGAAGTAGTTCTCTGTTTTCTTTTTAAAGATAACCGCAAAGCCTTGGCATCCTTCCAGGCCTTGTCCTGTGCTATGAACGTCTTCAGGGGCAGGGCCTGGGGCCTGTTCCTTTTTCATTCATTCCTTCAGCAACTGCTGAGCGCCTACCAGGTGCTCAGTACTGTTATAGCTATATGGGGAGACCTTGGTATCCTAACCCAGAGTACTTAACTTACTCTAAAGATAACTGGAAAACAAACAGATGTGGGAGGGAGGGAGACGCAAGAGGGAAGAGATATGGGAACATATGTATATGTACAACTGATTCACTTTGTTATAAAACAGAAACTAACACACCATTGTAAAGCAATTATACCCCAATAAAGATGTTTAAAAAAAAAAAAAAAAAACAAAACAGATGGATCCACAATGCTTAGGGCTTGGGGCTCAACAGCCACCTACCCACCCATGATAACAATACCTGCCCTTACGGAACAGCAGTTAGCCTGCTAAAGGCTCTGGCCCCCATCTGATACAATCCCCAGCCACCCTGAGACTCCTGCCCTTATTCTCCAGATAAGAAAAGATAGCCATAGACAACTAGGAAGAGTAGAGCCCGAATCTGAGCCCAATCTGTCTCCTAAGTCTGCGCCCTGATCCGGGATGCCTACCCGAAGGGCCGTGGCTAAAACTTAGTTCCGGACATTCCCCCTGCATAGAATCCTCATTTAATCCTCACCACAACCCTATGTGTTATAGAACATTCTCATCTGACTTCAGAGATGAGAAAGCTGAGGCCCAGACAGCTTAAGCCACTTGCCCAAGGTCACACAGCTAGAAGAACCACAGAACAGGGATTTGAAATCAGGCAACCTGGCTCCAAAGCCCATGAGCTTGACCATTACGCCAACTGTCATCAACAGCAACCACTGCTGCAATTACACATTTTCCAATACTTAGTGGTAAAAGACAGCACAATTCACGAGCCTACAGTTCTGGAGGCCAGAAGTCCAACACAGGTCCCACTAAGCTAAAATCAAGGTGTCGGCAGGCTGTGTTCCTTTCTGAAGGTTCTAAGAAGAATCCGCTTCCTTGTCTTTTCCAGCTTCTAGAGGCTGCCCACATTCCTTGGCTAGTGGCCCTTCCCTCCATCTTCCTCTATCACAGCACCTCTCAGCCCGTTTCCATCATCTCATCTCCTCTAACTCTTCTGCCTCCCTCTTCCACTTTTAAGGTCCCATGAGATTACACTGGACCCACCCAGATGATCCAAGATAATCTATCTCAAGGTCCTGAACCTTAACCTTATCTGCAAAGTCCCTTGTGACAAGTAAGGTAACGTATTCACAGGTTCTGGGGATTAGGACATGGGCATCTTCGGGGGTCATTATTCCATCTATCGTTGCAGCCATGCCAAAGGGCATCCATCCTCTGTGTTACTCATTCTTCAGCGACCAGAGGTCAAAGAGTGAGTCCCCTTGCTCCATTTAAACCGAACTGACACAGCTTTTAGACCCAAGAGAAAGATGGGTTCAAAAGGAAGCTTAAATGTCTAAATATCAGGCCCCAAGACAAAAGTACAGGAGAGTGGCTTAAACGTTAGAGTTGGAAGTCAAGCTACCAAATTTACTAGCTATGTTACTCTGGGGAAATATTTTTCACCCTTGGTTTCCTCGTCTGTAAAATGGGAGTAAATCACATCTACCCACTTCTTGGAAGTGCTGTGAGGCTGACATGAAATAATCAACATAAAGCACTAAGCATGTTGCTGGGCACACACTAAGAGCTCAGGGTCAGCCCTTATTTCACACATCAAATGGAGGCAGCCTCCCACCCGTCGAAGGCGGTCTGTCCCAGGACCCCTCACACCCGCCCCTCTTTCCTCCTCGGCTCCGGCCCAGGAGCAGCACCGCACCAGAAAGTTAGGACCAGAGTCGGGTCGGCTGAGAGGGGCTGCTTATGGCAGGAGGGGGGCAGGGATTTATGGCACCAGCCCCGGTTAATGGCAGGGGAGGGAAGGGGGCACACAGTCTGTTAAATGTTTACTGAGGCCCACAGGCAAATATGAAGCCCAGTTTGTTTTGCTGGGGTTGGGTACATTAAAGCTCTGTCACCTGGGGAAGAGTTATTCCATGGTCTGTTGGGCATTACTGCAGCAAAGCGGTGGTCCCTGACCAGGGGCAGGGGCAGCGCTGACGTTCTCGCAAGAAGGCAGCTCTGCCACGGACTCCACCTGCAAGAACTTAGGATGCAGGGCGCTGCACACCACGGCTTCTAGGACCATCAAACAGCAACACTTCTCCCTCAGGGAGCAGTTCTGTATCCTCTGCTAGGTGACTCCTTTTGGGTCATTTGCTCTTCCTGTAATGGATTAGCCAAAATAAAAAAAGACAGGCAATACCCGGGATTGGCTTGGCTGGGGAAGTGGAATTTTCATACAAGCTGGTGCACAGACATTCTGAAGAAAGAAAGACAAACAACCACTTTGGGAAGCTGTTTTGCATTATGCACCAGAGCTGAATATACGCTTTACATATTCCACGCTTAGGTATAAACTCACAGAAATGTGTACCGATGTTCGCCGAAAGATATGCTGTCGGATGTTCATGGCAGCGCTACTCATGACAGCCACACACTGGAAACGACTCAAACGCCTCCCAGCAGGAGACTGGATACTACACACACACACACACACACACACACACACACACACACGCACACACACAGGAATATTACAGAGCAACGAGAATGATCTACAACTGCACGTAGCATGTGAATACATCTCACAAATGTAATTTTGAGTGAAAGAAGCCAGACACAAGGGAATGCATTGTGATGTCATTTATATTAAAAACATAAACATGTCAACCTAGTCTATGCTGTTAGAAGTCAGGACAAGGTTATCTGAGTGGGGGGGGGGGGGGGGGGACAGTCAGTGACGGGAAGGGGTCAGGAGGGGGCTTCTCACACGCTGGTAGTGTTCTATCCATCCCGGTGGCGGTGGCGGCTACCCTGGATGTCTTAGCAAGCTGTTTTATATGCTCCTGATATGTGTGCTTTTTTATGCATGTAACCTCAATAAAAAGTAACATTTTTTTTTTAATGTTTCCCGTGCAAGTACGTTTGCTGGAATACTGAAGACGTGGCAACACCCGCTCAGGCCTGGGAATGGCCCCTTCTAGGTCTCTCTGCCTTGTATTTTCATGCCCTGTTGCCTTACAGCTGACCCTGCCCCGGGGAGGGTGCTCAGGGAAACACTTCACAAATAAGCTCGCTCTGGCCTAGTGACACGGAATTTGACATGGAATTTGCCCCACAAGGAAATACAGCCCCTGGCCCGATTCTCTTGGTTGAGTCTTTCCCCTCTTAGCCTCTGCCTCTGTCAGGCCCAAATACGTCACTTCATTCTTGACCGTCCCTACCAGGTATTTCCAACAGCTGACCGCTGCCCGGTAGTGAACATGCTGAAGAAAAACGAGAAACAGCCTGCCTCTATTTCCTACCCAACACCAAGAAAGCATCTTTCTAAAATACCAGCTTCCCCTAAAGATGGGATGCACAGAGGAGTGCTCTGGGAATAGGAAGGCTTAAGGGATCCTGGGTTGGCAGAGACCGGAATGCACAAAGCCAGGTCACGCAGCCCCCGGCGCCGACACTGGGAGAGAAACACAGTCTCTCTGACTGTGATGGTGGGAGCCGGAGAGCGTGTCTCCTAGTGGGTGCCTGGCTGGCCTCCAAGCCCTCTCTCTGCTTCTGGGTCTCCTGGACTCGGGTGTTATGTTTTCCCTCTCTTGCAGCGGTGATCAGAGTGTTCATTTTAGTAGGAGCAAGAGTCAGCGGATGCTGACCGCGCCACCTCTGAAAGCTGCCGGGGCGGGGAGGGGGGCCAGCTGTGGGGAGGAGGGACCGGTTCCCCAAGGGGGGGATCCAGTCGGTAAAGCTCGCACCGTCTCAGCTGGCCTCGCTCTCTCTCAGGTACGCGAGACTCCATCAACACGGATGCTACCAAGCAGGTGTCTGCTTTATCTTTTTCTGAGGAAGGGAGTGGCGGCAACTTCTCCAGCCGTGTCCATATTATTTCTCAGTGATACCCCGAGAGCTGGGGCCTGCCTAACCTGGGGAGATAAATCAAGCAGATTTGTTCCCAGGGAAAGCGGCAGCTGTCCGACTGCTGACTGACTCTATTTTTGCTTCGTCTCAGTTTCTCCCCAGTGTGTGCTGGGATGACACGGATCAGCTGCCTTGGAATTTCCAAGCCTTCCAGCCCATGCTCCCCCACTCCCCCCCCATCCCACTCGCCCAATTCCTCATTCAGGGGATGGGGGCTCGGGGGCTAGATAAACCCGGGTGGGAATCGCAATGGGGTCAGTCGCTCGCTGGCCACGGGCACAGCCCTTAGGCTCTTTGGAAGTGTTTCCTCACCTGTTGAATGAAAACGAGGAATCGAAACGCATGTCCCCTGGGGTTCGTATGTGGAGGAGACTGTATACAAAATGCTCAGTGCCCAGACCTGCCCACGGGGGCTCCTGACTCAGCAGAAAGTCAGCATCACCTCAACCGTCCTGATCAGCCAGTACTGTTGCTTGGGAGATGCAGACTGAGCCCC